CATTCGGAAGCTATGGACTGAAAGCTCAACAGTACATCTGATACAGATCTTTTCCATCATTTATGACTGTCACAAAGAAAAGGAATTGCTTATCAAAGCAGCAATTATTTGGCTTGATATGATCCCAAATTCTGTTTGGACAGGAAGCCTTCAGCCTTGGATAGAGCAATGAGAGCAAGCAAGATTACTCTAAAGGAGCTTGCTTAGTTTGTTATGGTGTTGGGGACTGAGGCTTTTATACTTCTAAACACTGGCTCTGAGCCACAAAACTGACTTCCCCATTAATGTGAGACACTGAGGGTAGGTACTTTTATCCTAGTATCTGAGGAGGAAATGATTTTGATAGAAAGGAAAAATACTTGCAATTTCTATAAATCACAGCATATAATCCCCGACTTTAGCAGCTGTTCAGACTTATATGCAATTGGGCATTCTTTGGCATACACAATTTGGAATTCCTATCCCCTACTCCATTTTTAGCCTATCCCAACTTCATTTTTACTTTGATGCTAGCTGACCCTCTGCTAGCATATGTAATAAAGGCTGCAGAAGCACTATAATAACCCTCTCTAACCCTGTTTAAAGCTCCCAGCAAACAATTAATTGAAGGGACTCAGTTATCTGCAATCCCCCAAAGCACTACTTTTTTCATATTCTCAAATTGCAATTTCCAGTTGAACAATGCAAATTATTTATCTAAGCTCATGATAATTTTAAAAGCCTCTTGAAATTGAGTAGTAAGTGGAGGGAAAATGGGGAAAAATGGGAAAATGGAAATCTTCAATCTGCCTGCATATCTTCCTATATAAAACTTTTGAATATGAGCCAGAAACTAACTAAAAATAAAACAGAAAAATAGTGGAAAAGTTATTTAGAGAGAAATATTTAAAGTTAACATCTAAAGAAAAGCAGGAACAGTGATAATTTGAACAGCACTTTTTTTTTTAGCATAATGGCTTAAGGGAAGACATTACAAATTCAGCTCAAATGAATTTGCAAGCCCTGCCTCCATTACTGTGAAATCTGTAGTGCAATACAACTGGTAATTCAATAAAGCTACATTTCCTTGGTGTTTTATTCATAATACATCATAAATCTTCATTAAACCTAAGAGATGCAGAGACAGCAGTCATTTTAAAAAGTTTATTTCCTGAATTTTCTTCTTAAAAGAAAAATTAGAATGTATTTTTATTTTTTAGAGCTTGAAAGACATTCAAGGAAACTGTATATTTCCAGGGATTAAATTCAGTTAAAAATATCTAGGAAGTTAAAGGTCATAAATCACTTTTGAAGTGACACAGGAACTGAATTGTGCCTAATGGACAGAAATCTCAATAACTTTTTAATAGACTTGGTATAATTTAGAAGTTGACATATGACATGACTAAGAGAAATTTTCTGACAATTTTGTTTGAGAACAATCAACCAATGGAACAGCTTGCCTTCGGAAGTTGTGTGAGCTTCATCATTGGAAGCTTTCAAGAAGAGATTGGACTGCCATTTGTCAGAAATGGTGTAGGGTCTCCCGCTTAGGCAGGGGGTTGGACTAGATGACCTACAAGGTACCTTTCCAACTCTGTTAATGTGTATCTGTAAATATATTACGATTATCAATGTACAAACCTCTTATTCATCTCAGCACATTCTGTTTCACTATATTTTGCTAAAGCAAATGCATAATCAATCAAAAGCAAAAAATAAACAAAAAGTTTATATAGAAGCTACAAATATCCCTAGATTAGATTTTTCAGTTATGTCTACTACAGGGCAGTATACAAATATTAAACCTTAGATCCAAGTAAAACACCAACGATCACTGATATTACAGTATTAACACGCTATTCACAAGATTAAATAACACAATTTATTTTACCAAATGACTCTCCTAATTTCTTTCTGCCTCTTATCATAGCAAAATACAGACTGAGGTACAGACTGAGTCACTAGAATATAAACTGAGAGCAAACCCTACTCCTTACTAGCACTGATGATGTTATCTAGTTTGGGTAATGAAATGTCTGCAAGAAAACAGTCAAACTCAGAGCACCAAGTACCTCTCAGTATAGACTGAGCCCTTTAGCACCCACAAATTAAGAATTATATTTGCAAATTAAACACTGTCTTTTTTTTTAAAGCTAACTCTTTTAACATTAAAGCAACAATTTTTTTTGAAGAATTGCTTTGCTTTTTTCCTTTTGTGTTTTATGCACTCCTACCTGTAGTTTCTCAGTTTGAGATCTCTCTCTTTCTCTCCCTCCCTCTCACTGAAGTCAGAGATTACACTATAGGAGGGGAGGGGGAACTAAAAGAACTATTAAACAGCTATTGAACATCAATGTCTTAAAATTGGCTACATTATCTTGTTTTTGATTATTAACCCAGCTGCAAAATAGTTTCATAAACAATCTTTATTAACTTATTTTGTTTACTACAATGATGTCAATTAACAAGGCTCCAAGTGGCTTACTCTCCCCCCCAAAAGTAACATTAAAATAAAAACCATTACAAATAATAACAAAATGAAACAATGCTGTAATTAATAATCTCAACATTCAAATCTAGAGAAGTCTGGATGAAGCTGCCATAAAAATACATTCCAGTTTAAACCAAACTTAACGGCCACTTCCACCCTACACTTAAGAAAATTACATACCAAAATCATCAGCAACATTCATATACTGGCCTATATGAAAAATGTAGTATTTTAAAATGGGTAGAAACTGAAGAATGCTGACCCCACAATTAATTCAATCTTTGACTTTCAAGTTCCAAAATCAAATCTAATCAAACCTAAATAAGACTCTTTCATACAAACATAAGCTTCCCTTTGAAGCAAGTATTTATATCTGCTTTTCCTTCCTTATTACATCAGTGTAAAATGTTAATACAGTACCGGATGGGGGTGGTTTAACAACACCAAAATTATTTAAGTGGGCAACTAATCAACAAAAGTTCTTTATAGAGAACTAAAGATGTGCTAGAGACCAGATAGGGATTACTTGTTTTTAGCACTCCAAACAACTTCATATGTATTTGAACAGATGGAATATTTTAATTACCAACTGAATATATCTCAGCATTTCGCCTCAAGACAAGAACTTTAGCACTTAATACAGTATCCTGCTCAAGATTGAAAACATAGTGCAAAGTAACTGAGTAATGCACAAGTTCTTCAGTGAGATCCTAACCTCCAAGACATGGCCTATGACATGTTGAACAATTATGATATGTGCTGTATAACTAATACTGGACTAAACCTCAGAAGTCTACTTAAGATGTAGCAGCCTTAGCAATAAAAGCAAAATGTTAAGGCAATGTCTATCAAAGAATAACCATGATTTGCACCAATTTGATTAGAACTTTTGATGTACTACGGTATTGTAATGGGAAAAATAGTTAATTGGGGAAGTATAATTAATTATCTCTGAGACTGCAATAAAACCCATAACACCATCAGATTCAAGATCACTTGACTAAGGAAGTTGGTCATTTTCACACACTTCAGAAAACCAAAATTAAAACTTTGCTATGGCAACAAACATTCTTGCAAAGGAGAAATATTTTTGCAACAATAAAGAGTCTTCTTGCCAATTAGTCTAAAAAGTTAACTATTTTATGAGCCAAACAATAAAAGAATAACTACAATAAAGTGTTAAAATTTTGTGTTGAAATGTTTTATACAATCTTTGCAGAGCTTTTCCTAACACTCTTTGCAATCAGAAAAGAAATAAAATTGCTTTTTACTTATGCCACATTTTGATACTGGTTTAGTTCAGAACTCTTCTCAAAGAATGGAACATTTGATGGCAGAGGCAAACTGAACCAGTCACAGTTCTTTGCCATGGCAACACAAAGACACAGTAATATTTAAAATACAGGTTAAGATGTGCTAATTACCCTTTCTCAGTTTGCCTAGCAGACGAACCCTTATCAATGACAATACAGAAAACAAGAGAGGATCAAGCAGGATAACTTCTATATGAAGCTTCTGTCCACAGCACATCATTCAGTATTTGAGAAGGCATATAAAGGCTAGCATATCTAGCCAGCAGAGCAATAAAAACATTCATTTAATTATTCTCCTTGTGACTGCACATTCAAATAACATCTCTCAATAAACAAGCAGCATATTAAAATATGTCAGGCAGAGCTTTAGGTTTCTCTGCAACATGCATTTTCAGTAAACACTTCAATATAGCACTTTTGCTAGACAGCACATTTAATTTTGGTTTCTAATTAAAAGTTCATCAACACATTCATCATAGTATAGGGTGTGGTTCCTGCTCTATGGAACATTCTGTCCCTGAAGTCTAAAGGACCTAATCCACTCAGCCTTCCAGGAGGTTGTTATGACCCAGTTGCCAGGATTTTAGGGGAGAGCAATGTACAGGTTTGTTTCTGTAAAATTGCTACATGGTGCCTCAGATGTTTCTTTTTCTTGTATTGGATTATTTTTAACTCTGATGTTTTCTTTTCTTTTGTTCTGTAAATTGATTGTTATGTATTTAAGTTGGTCAGTAATATAAATGTTCTAAAAAAATTAAATACATTCTCCGGATAGGTTTAAGTGTATATTCAGATTTAAGGACATATATTACAGCATATATTAAATATATCGATTTAGCTGTTCTAGTGTTAAACAACTGAGACATATGGTCCTAATAATTACAGAAATTTAGAAAATCTTAATAGATTTTGGCTCATCTAAGAACCAGTTTGCTATACCATAAGCTAGGATAAACTACTCACTGTATTTCTCTATGAAATTTGAACTTGCTACCACAACTAAAATATTGTAAAAAGCTTAGGGCCATTTGATAAAGCAAGGAAATACACAGCAGTGATTGTAATATTCAGCAATCCTGTTGCATTCTGTAGGCTGCTTGATCTCTTTCAACAAATTCATTTGGTCAAAAAAAAAAAAGACCAAATATCCATTTCCTTATACAGCATTCAAAAAAGCACCAACATTGTAATCCCCACTTTCTGTTGCAACTTACCAAGTTTTTCCACGAGTTTCAGCATGACGCCACCAATATGTATTTCCCCTGTGACCCTCAGTGTTACATCTCTGTTCAAGTCTGTGACATGCACATTCAACTCCCACGTTCCATCAGCATAGCAGCCATCTGGCATCCGTATACCGTCCAGAGCCGTCATTGCTCCTTTCTACTGAAACAGAGGAAATGGCATTCATTTCATTAGTTAAGCTGAAGCCTCCCGCTCACAGCTCAGGAACAGCTTCCCCGTTTCCCCATTCAAGTGAAGAAAAACACAGCAGTGAGGAAAGTAAAGAAAGAGCATGAAAAAGAAATAACCAAGGAAGAGAAACAAACTCCCTAAAATCAGCTGTAAAGAAGTAACAAAACCGAGGAACTTCAATTTACTTAGGGGGGCAGTAAGGGGAGGGCGGACCCAGATTGCAGATTTCCAGCTGCTCAGCAAGGGCTTTGTAAACTTAAAGGGACTATAAACTGAAGGCTTGCTTAGCTTCAGTTTGCAGGTATGCTTAAACCAAGTTTCCCTTCTTCAGGGATCTTATTCGTCCCTACAATATGTTAATGAGATAAAGTCCCTTTGACCCCCGCAGTTCAGGATTCATATTCCCTTTAAGATCCAAACTACTCAAGAAAATTGGAATAATTCACCGGAGCAAATACATCCTTCCAGTCACAATAACTTCCAGGATCTCCTAGGACTCTTCCTAAAAAAACATAGATATATTCACAGTGGCAGTCAGATTGCATAAACATCCCAAAGCACAAATAAAGGACTCCACACGGGATAACATTTTGCAAGCTCCTTTTTTTTCCCAAGGCGCAAGAGATAGCACTATTTAGATTATACGGGGCTGTAGCAGGCAAGGAAAAAGAAAGGAGCAATGGATGTCCCAAGCCAAAATAATGCTCACAGAGAGGAAGGAGGATGTGCCCTTCGGATCTAGAATCCCATAAAAATAAACTGAGGGAGGGGGAAGGCTAACTTCTCAGGTAAGCAGAAGAAGAGGAGGCCTGGGTGGGGGGGAAGAGTAGGAAGGACGGAAAGTGAGGAGAGACCGAAAGGAGCGAGGCTGAAAGCGCGGCGAAGCATTATTTGCAGAGGAGAAAGGCAAAGCAAGTCACCCCAAAAGGGACTAGGACTCTGAAGAGGGCACAAATCCTCCGAACTACCCCACACACTTTACACCCCGACCCATCACCCCTGGCCACACGCACACGGATCCCCCGAGGACCCCACTGGGGCGCAGATGTCCCTGCGTCCACCGACCGAGCAAGGATGACGTGGAAGCGGAGGAGAAACGAAGCTCTCCCTTGCCGCGCGAGGGGAAAAGCCCCCACCGCCCGCCTGCCTGCCCGTCCTCACCTCCCTTCAAGGGGCTCCCCGGCCTGGCTTCTGCCTGCGCCCGCGCGCCTGCGTGCCTGCGTTGCGGTCCCCCCGTCGGCGCTGCGAGCGTGACAGAGAACCCCCCGCCGCTGCCGCTGCCCTCTGCCTGCCTCGCCCGATGCTTCGCTTCTATTCCCCGCCCTGCGGACGTAGCCAGGACGGGAGCCCTCGCCCCCTTCTCCGCCCGCCCGGGGGCGCCGCCTGAGGGGATGGCGACAGAGGGAGGGAGGGAGAGGGAGGCAGGCCTGGGGGACGAAGGAGAGGGAAGGCGCTGCCCTTTTATGGAAGCCTGGACGGAGGAGCAGCCAGGACGGAGGAGCAGCGGGGCAAGGGGCCAACATCCGGGACTCCCCCGCCAGCGGACGCGCGGGAAAGCGAAGAGGGGGAGGAGGGGGAGGCTGAGAAGGGGGAGGCGGCTGAGGGGGAGGAGGTGCGCGGAAAGCGCGGGAAGGGGGCGCGGAGACATCTCCCCTTCAGGGGGGCGGGGGTGTGTGTCCTGCGTCACCCAAGGAGAGGAGAGCCATCCTTGGGAATGGGAGAAGAATAGGCATGGCGGGCTTAGCCGCATCCAAACTCGCAGCCTCTCCAACGTGGTTCTCTCTCTCTCTCTCTCTGCTGTGGGATTCCTTTCCCCGCCGTTTTGCGTTTGGGCCACAACCTCGCGTACGCCCAGAACAACAACCGCGCGCATTAATGGGGAGTGGGATCCGGCATAAGACGGCGGTTGCTTGCCAAACTCAATTTAGGCGTAGGGAGGCGGAGCACCGGACTCGGAAGAAGCGCCGGGATTTGTCCCCCGCGGTTGCCGCTTCTGAAAAATCGTCCTGAGGAAAAGTCAAGGATTGGGGGGGGGGGGGGGTGTTAGGAAGAGAGGGCAAGGACTGGCAAGAGCCAGGAGGTGGTTCTAAATCCTCAGAGATTTACGATGGCGATGCATTGGCTATACCTACGTGCAGAGGCAACAGATGTTTGTTTTAATTATGTCCCAAAGGTACTTTTTTTTTTCCAACAGACAATTGGATTGTCCAAAACTCCACTTTGCCTCTTGGAAAAAAAGCAGCTTTAGGACAACCATGACAGAATCGCCATAGATATGTTTGAATTATGATTTGCTTTCCATTGGTTTTGTAACATATGTAAATTGCTTGCTTTATTTTATAGTGCAGAGTCACCTAGTGTGAGATGGGCAATCATGTAAGTTTAAATAAATAAACTTAACCAACGGATTGGAGAACAACCAACTGGTGAAGCCATGGGGTCTCATATATTGCTCTGCAAAGTAAAATACAGGAATTTTGTATTTGTATTAGTTTGTCAAACATGTACAAGATAGCAGATATAAATATAAAAATGGATATGAACGAAAGAAATGAATACAAATAAATGGGGACAGTAGGATAGGGACAGTCCTACTAAGCTCTTCTTCTGTAAGCTCCTCTTGCAACCAGCCTGCCTGCCATAGAAGACCTGTATATTACATGGGTTAGGGTTAGGAGGAGGGATGAGAAAATATCTACAGACCCCACACATCCTGGGCATAAACTCTTTCAATTTCTCCTCCTGGGACGCTGCTATAGGGCATTACATGCCAAAACAACTGGGCACAGGGACAATTATAGCAGTAGACTTATATACCGCTTCATAGGGCTTTCAGCCCTCTCTAAGCGGTTTACAGAGAGTCAGCATATTGCCCCCAACAATCTGGGTCCT